CTCGGCCTTTTGCCTCGTGTTTTGTTCCACTCTTGCCGCCCTAGTTTCCGTCATACCGGTGTTATGTTCCCGGATTTTGCGTTCCTTACGCGGTCGGGTGATTTATGGGACCCCCTTGACAGTTCGCTTTGAATAAAACTCCTCCAGCAAGGCCCAACCTTGGTTTTACCATTTGTCTCACCACCACCTACTTTTCCCTTGGGAGTCGCTCTCTCGAGGGTCATCTTTATTATAGCCCCCCCAGGCCAGTGCTTGTCTAAGTGTTAGTCCAAACTAGAGCACCGTGCGGGGCCATCCCTTGGCAACTTGGGTTACGTCGGTTCCTGTACGCTTCGCTTATCCGGTGTTGCCCTGAGAACGAGATATGTGCAGCTCCTATCGGGATTGTCGGCGCATCGGACGGTCTTGCTGGTCTTGTTTTACCATTGTCGAAATGTCTTGTAAACCAGGATTCCGAGTCTGATCGGGTCTTCCTGGGAGAAGGTCTATTCCTTCGTTGATCGCGAGAGCTTGTCATGGGCTAAGTTGGGACACCCCTGAAGGGTATAATCGTTCGAAAGCCGTGCCTGCGGTTATAGGCAGATGGGAATTTATTAATGTCCGGTTGTAGATAACTTGACACAAGATCCGAATTAAAACGCATCAACCGCGTGTGTAGCCGTGATGGTCTCTTCTCGGCGGAGTCCGGGAAGTGAACACGGTTTCATGTTATGTTTGACATAAGTAGGAGTTCAGGATCACTTCTTGATCATTGCTAGTTTCACGGCCGTTCTGCTTGCTCTCTTCTCGCTCTTATTTGCGTATGTTAGCCACCATATATGCTTAGTCGCTGCTGTAGCCTCACCACTTTACCCCTTCCTTTCCTTTAAGCTTTGCTAGTCTTGATACCCATGGTAATGGGATTGCTGAGTCCTCGTGGCTCACAGATTACTACAACAACAGTTGCAGGTACAGGTTGTGCGATGATCATGACGCGAGAGCGATGCTTGCTTGCGTTGAGTTGTTCTTCTGCTTCTTCGATCAGGGGATAGGTTCCAGGTCGGCAGCCTGGGCTAGCAGGGTGGATGTCGTTTGAGTTTCTGTTTGCGTTTCATCCATAGTCGGATGATTCTCTTATGTATTGTGATGTTGTATTCATGTGGCATTGTATGCCTATTGTATGTGTCCCCATCTATTATGTAATGTTGATGTAATGATATCCACCTTGCAAAAGCATTTCAATATGCGGGTCTATCCTTGGTGGGACCTTCGAGTTCCTTTTGGATAGGGTCGCATATTGGGCGTGACAGGTACCACCCCCCCCACCCCCCACCACCACCACCACCCAAGGCAACAAGACCTTGGCCCATGAGGAAACTTCTAGAGCCTTTCGAAAGGTTTTGAAACCTTCCAAACCTTTGCAGAATATTCCATGACCTTCTAGGACATTTTTAGGACCTCTTGAAACCTCTCGGAACACTTCTAGAGTCATCTGGAACACTTCTGTAACCCGCTCTTTTATTCTCCTTTGTCTTCTAGTTCTCTAACACCTCAAAGCGTTAGTTGTGTGATCCTGCAGATTCGATAATACGTAGACATGACCTGAAACACCTTCCGGTGAATAATCAATAACGGGATATGGACACCCATATTTATTCCAACATTCACATGGATATATTTATCGATCAAACCTTTTGATTAAGTACACGATTCCATTCGCTTCATGATACTTAACAAAATCCAAGGCGGGGCTTTTGTCGGTATCATTGTGAAGCACCGACTTGATCACAATACCAAGTTATCCTTGTTACCGATTTTGTTCTGTTTTATCATTTTTGTATTCACGTACCCCGTGATTGTTTATCATTGTGTTTGGTCAGACGATGACGGACACCGTAATACCGAGAGGCCCCACAGAGTATCTCTCCATTTTTGGAAGAGCAAATCCCAGTCTTGAACTATCGAGTCTCTAGACGTACTTTTCTGATGTACCTGAAAGTTACCATCATAATCACCCTGTTATGGATAATGTTTGACAACCCCAAAGTAAACGGTCGACATGATGGTATTCGACATTCTCATGGTCTAAGGATGTGAGTATATGTTAACACTTTCATGAGTATACTTATAACACTATGACGATGGTGATCTCATAGTATACCATTCACTTGGGTCTGTCCAACACCATTGTTCTGTTAACAATGTGCCCCGATTGTTGTCATCATCCTTTTTACTTCAACAATGCACTATGATTTGGAAACATGATCATCATGCAACACATAAGCTAGTCTTAGAGACAAGAGTACGGAAGGACTTGGTGCTTATCTCCACTGTGTTTCTCTCGTATTCTAGAATCATCGGAATTATAGTACAGAAATATAAACTTAATTATAAACATATAAATTATTAATAATATTTATTATTACCTTTAGGGCATATTTCCAACACTTTCTACTTGTGCAATCACACGACTTCATGATTGTGTTATGGTGTACCACCGATGATGTAGCAACTTCACATTGTGATAATGGATCACATCCAAATTGAAGGGCGTGCAGTGCTTGTGCTCATGAAACAAAGAATGCACGTGTTGCCAAAATATCGTGCTCTTTTGTTTCATGCCTACAAACCCCATACTTGTGGCCAACCACGCCTTGCACAACAATGCGTCCTCCCTCACCGAGTACCCTGCCATCGTGCTTGATTCATGTTAAACAAGGAGAAAGTCAAAGGAAAATCAATGACATTTGGTCGAACACTTGTCAGGCATGGTGTTTGCCATGGATGACGTCGGCAGGGGGCGGCGATACCTGCGCTGCGGACCGATCCGGGGTGCAATGGTAACAAAGTACAAGGCGCCTGGGTGGAGCGGAGGTCCGACAAGAACTGATCGGCAACCAAAGTGGTGTAAAGGCGCTGCAATTTTGATGGTGCGGATATAGGCCAAGGAGGAAGGTATGGAGTGAGGGGGAAGGGCTCTAGGAAGGGGGTTTAGGGTGGGCCAACTGTGTCAAAGTCCGACGCGGCGGGCGTCCGGGCTCCTCCAGACGTCCCACAAGTTTGTTCTCGTTTAGGTGAAACTAGCACAAATGCCCGTGTGTTGCAACAGGAGAAAACATTGGTTTCTATGAATCTGCCAGATCAAGGAACCATGTCGTTGGACAACGCTCGCTGATGATAAGAAATTGGTTCATTTCATCAGCATATGGGGTATGATTTCAAGTAAATTGATCTGTCTGAACAACCACCTCTTGATTGTTAGGTCATTCTTTAGATTATTTGTTCATTCTTGAACTTCAATAAATATGAAGTAATAGCAGCAAGCAAACTAACCTAGAATAATAATTGCAGCAGCAAGCAAACGAATCAAGAGGAGTAATAGTTGCAGCAAGCATAATCTTTTAATTTAAAAAAAATTGTTTAGCTGGCATCACAACGTATTTTTTTATCAATAATCTAGTGATATGTAGTATATATCCATAAGCATGTGAGTATTATTTGCAGAAATTTTATAAACTTACTTAAAGGTTCGTTTTCAAGTTCTGCATATTTGGCTCCATGCCGAGAGTCAAAAATCGTTTACATGAAAGATGAACCATGTATAAGTTGCATCCACACTATTTATAGAAACATGTGCCAACAACCTTGCAAAGGAGGAAAAATAAATAAATACAATTCTACTGTAGTTCTTTATAGTGTAGCATAACCACTAGTGTGGTGTCAAAAACGCTCTTATATTATGAAACGGGGGGAGTAGTATTTTTGGACTTTAGTAAAAGTGAATATTCCAGGATAGCAGTTCAATCGTATATTCACACTCATGCGTCCCCAGGCTGTCAAGATGTCATGTGCCATGTATTAAGGATAGAGCAAAAATGTACATTAATTCAACCTGTCAGTTCCGCTGATCTCCCATGAAAATTGTACATCGTTGTTCATCTTCCCAAGAATAGCATGCATCTTCCTTCCTTGTATCACGTCTTGCCTTGTTTTCGTATAGCATCGTGTCTCTGGTAGACTCCATGACAATCTGCATACATCCATTATCTCATCAGCCACCACCTAGGTGGTAATCATCCAGCAACCAGCTTCTGGATAGGTGCAAATTTTGCACGTATATTAACTGGTGTGGATGGATGTAAATAGTCGAGATGAGACTATGTCATCATGAGTTGAATTCTCTTTCAAGACACTAACAATTGCTATCTCAATTGGTCTCGGTATTACAGGATTAGTGTGAGAACTTGAGTTCGATCCCCATGTACAGCACAAAATTTTTTTTAGATGGGTCACGCGGCGTCCGGGCTCCTCCAAACGTCCCACAAGTTTGTTTTCGTTTAGGTGAAATTTGGATGTCTGGACCGGTCCTCTTACATTTGATGCAACACTGGATAGCAAAATGTATTCAGACATTTAGCAGTGGTGTTTTCTGATGCATGGCGTTGGAGATGCCCTTAGGTCGGAAATCCCCATCGTTTAACGTTGGCACTCTTTTTTGTTTTTTTTTTACAACACGTTGGAAAACTCTTGTGTGATTTATTTATTTTTTGCATCGATGGGTCGTGAAACCTACCAGTTTCGATCATATCGTAATATTGTCATATATCTATTGAAGTTCAAATTTGCTTTGCATGAAAAAAAAAGCGGCCGCACCTTACCAATTAGTATACCGTAGCTCATGTAACATAGAAACAATATTACATGTGCATTGCCTCTGCCGTCAAAAAACGTCATGTTTACTCGTCAAACCAAAAAGAAACAAGACGTATTTTCATGTGCTATGACATGGCAAGAAAAAATGTTCAGGCCGATATACAATTTATGCGGCACAAAATGTCCAGGTTGAGTATCCCTAGAGGAAAATTCTGAAACCAAAAAACTAACAGTTTAAATACGGTGATCTAATAGTAATACAATAACAACACAATACAATTCACACTAACTTCCATGGAACAGCACACCTGTGTATGCTCATGACCGAATAATTTTGACGGAATACCGATCTTCAAGTTTACCGTCACTTAATTGATAAGAGACTCCATAGCTTCAAAGAATAGAGGCACAAACTCCCTGTTTGGAGTCTTGACTGCACACTTGGCACCAGGAACACCAACAGCAGCAGTAAGCTCTATCAGAAATGGAATCCCACGGGGGATCTTCGCAGACAGATACAGCACATCCATGTTTGCATTTTTCCGCTTGGCAATAAAGAACACATTTGATGCTGCAAGGTGTTCAACGGTGGCATCTATGCTGCTGATGACAGAATTGGGGTATTCTTTTGAATATTCATTGTCATCAGGTAAAGATTTCCAGGCCTGCAATCAGATTTAACCAATTCAAACTAGAGATTAACAAGGATATAATAGCGGAAGAGTACTCACTCGCCACAGGCGTTCTCTACAAGTCCTAAGGCCAACAGACCAAAAACAGCTAAGCAAATCAAAACAACTAGGACAGCAACTACCGCAGAGAAGAAAGATTTACTCGTAGTAGATTTCACCTCAAGAAAACTCGTTCGCTCCATTTTGCCATCTTCACCAAAGAAGACATGCAGCGAACCTTTGTCACTGAAATACCACACAGGTTGCTGATTATTCTTCACTGCAACCTGCAGTAGCGAGTTCGGTGCTCCAGGAGAGACATTCTGGGAGAAAACCATAGCTAGGAGCGTCCTGGCTGAGGACCCAGGTTGGAGTGGAGGAACCTTATTCATCAACCGACACCAAGTTCAGTACAGGAAACTGAAATTTAGACACAGAACTTACAAAATATATAGACATCCTTGCACCTGAAGTGGTCCACCGGCTGCAAGACCAAATGTGTTCTTGTTAAACTGAATCATAAATCCATCTAATACACCCTGGGTCCCATTCTCAAAAGATATATCATAGTATATCTGGCCATCCCGTCGCACCAGTTGCGCACTGATCTGGAGACCTTGGCCAGTGGTTGAAGGCAGTACAACAGGCAGTGGAGGTCTGCAGGGAAAACAATCAGAAAAATCAAACTGGAGAAAAACTGGCTCGAACCGTATAACATGAATAAAACATCAAACTAAAACTTGGAGCAAAAACAATAAAAAGTTTCGCTGACCCTGAAGATGCTGTAGGTTCGTCAACAGGAACCAGGGCATTATCCAAACCCATTAAATCACCTAGGAGATCTGGGATCGGAGCAGCAACTGCTGGGGCTGCAGCTGCCGGCTGCTTCACTGGTACATTTGATGAAGTGCCAGTACTAGAGGACGGTGATGCCCCATCCACTCCCTGAGATGGTGACTCCGAATACCCAGTTTCTCCAGCATCAGCAAACTCCTCATCATCCGCCCTAGGAGCTGCCTTAACACAGCTAACAAAGGCTTCTGGGGGCTTGTGATAAACTGATGATAATGTAGAAATGTTTGCTAATAACTCATCAAGAAGCGAAGAGTCAAGCTGGTTAGAGTCATCGCTGATCACAGGCTTCTCTGCCAGAACAACATCTTTTGCTGCCTGTCAAAGCCACACACATACCCAGTGGTCACAGGGATATCTGACAAAGGATAGGAAGGTGTGAAGTGTAAACTTTCAATACCTCGGGATCAGTAGAAAGAAGTCGCCAGTATATGTAAGCTCGATCACGCAGATCAGGATTGTCTGTTTCAACTGTTGCATTATTGAGAACAGCCTACAGAAAATGAAGCAGATTAGGCAGAAAACTGTAGCACATATTAAACAGAATTTGTTAGGGACAGGACATACATTCAATTGGAATAGGCCATTATTCATTCATTCAGCCAAGAGAAATTGAATATAGTGTACCCTTATGAACCAAATTTCTAGTTCTCAACCCAAAAAATTGAGTATTCTAATTATTAATGTTGCAACACAATTCAAGGTATGCTCAATGCTGTAAAGATTTCAACAAGCCTTTTTGAACACCATGACATGCCATGGTATCAAATAAGGAGATATTCAAAGACTCTCTTACACCATGCCAAGAAGTTATTCTTTGCTCCGCAATCTAGTGTATCCATCATCTGCAAGAGTAAACAAAGGAACTGAGAATAGTAACCTGTATCATCTGCTGGGGCCCCTCAGTTGGCTTCTTAAGAAACAACTTAACAGTCGCTGTTAGCAACTGCAGTTGAACTAATGCTGGTTCTTCTGGGAATGTATCCAAGAAACTCTCAAGGAGTTCATCAGCGTTGTCAATTCTTTCGGCATATTCTCCAATTATCCAAATCATTGATGCCTGTATAAGAAAATAACATGTAAGTGAACAAAACATGCAAGAAATTACAAAGACCATTCATAGACAATACCTTAGCCTCTGGTTCATCTAAAGTGTCCAAACTTTCACAAAGTGTTGCGATGATAGACTCATATCTGCATATTTTGGCAAGAAAAAGGTTACTATTTTACAAAAATATATGCTGAGCACAAAAGAAGAGCTCTGTAGTTCCATAATTCCAAAAACATAGAATGTTGAGCTTCCAGGCAAACCACTCACGTGTTAGGATAGCGTCTAAAGATGTCTTTGATAACAATGATAGCTTCCTGTACGACATAATTAACCTTTATTTTGATCAGCTCAAGCAAGACACTGATGCACCTTTCAGCAGCTCTCTCCAACTTAATTGCACATCTTCCAATCGCACGTACAGCTTTCCTCACAAAGTCAACATCAACCTCTGTGGCGTACTCTTTGAACTCCAATAGCACCTATAACGAGCTCAGTCAACTTCTGGATGGCAACTTGTAGAAAACAGATCTAGTACTATAATCAGAAAAGAATAAGATGCTTAATAAATTTAACTATGGTAAGATTCACACTTGAGGTGATGGACTTTTGTTCCTGCAGAGTTTTATTTACAATCTCTGTAATTCTGTTATGTACGAGACAGGAATATAATAACACAAGGCAGTAGCTGAAAATATTGTTCCACTCAAGTCAACATCATAACCACAACAGTAAATTAGTACTCCCTCCGTCCGGAAATACTTGTCGGAGAAATGTATGTATCTAGACATATTTTAGTTATAGATACATCCAGTTTTATCCACCTCCCCGACAAGTATTTCGGGGCGGAGGGAGTACATAAGAAAGAAGATTATGTACCTGATCAATGTTCCTATCTGACGCAAGCTTTATCATAATCTCTAACTTTTCCATCTTGACATATATTGGGTCATTGTACTTGCAAAAGAAGACCTATTGCCAAACATACTATTGAGTTACAGAAACACTGGCATGATAGATTGATGAATAAGAATAGCTCAAAGACAAACAAATGTCACCTTAATTTCATGTGCAAGTATTGTAGGCCTTTTTTGAACAATCAGATTGATATTTCTCAATGCTACATACTGAATCTCGGGCTCTGCCGACAGTAGAGTAACCAAAGGGGGTGCCATTTTTTTGCAGAGATTCCGGACAACATCAGTGCTTGTAATGAGCTCCATTTGTAGAAGGATTATCTGTGTGAAAGAGATAACCAACAGGTTAACTCTTTCTGCAAAATCAAAAACAAACAGCAACTGCTGTCTTGAATAGTACCAGAACCAGCGTTCCAACTTAAATGGATATGTATCATCCTCCAACTAAAAGGTCAGGAACATGAAAATCAATCCAATGTCACAGTCCATTTGTTCTTCCTATGATTTATTAGGATACACTTAAGATGAAAGAAAAAACTTTGTTACCTAGTTAAATGAGCCCATAAATAATCAATATGAGTATGTGTTATTTGGGTACTTGCAGATAAGTTTTTCCTTACCCTGCTACCCATGCAGAGAGAACTGGCAGCGCCCCTGTTCAGGCCTGACATATCAATACAAGTACATATGGCACTGTGCCAATCTATGGTTAATGAATACCACATACACAACTGCATGCAACACTTTCTAAAACTTTACTGTGTTCTAGTACATGTGAATCAGGCTAATGTACCTTGACAGCAGAAAGAACAACTGCACAGTTTGCATGTTGAAGACGGGGTGTAACTCGTTCCACTATATTTTCTGCGTCCCTTGCATCTGTTGCTTTGTACCTTGACAGAGAATCAAGAATGAAAACTTGTCCCCACCTGCAAAATTATCAAATATGATAAGCAGCTTACTCTAGAAAAATATGGGGGTTCAGAACCCAATATAGCAAGAACTGCATCATACTCTGTGCATTCATTCAGAGCAGTCAGAAGCTTTGTCAATGTATGGCTGGTGATCTCAAAGATCGGACGAGCACTACTGTCTTGAATCTCTGCCAAAGCAGCAACAGCATTTGCAACCACCATAGGATTATTGTCAGAAATTAAGTCTTTGAGGGCCTCTAGAAATCCTCTGTCCTCCACTAGCTCAGCATTTATATCATAAAGCTTAGCAACACAAATAGCTGCTGTCTTCCGCACATATGGATCATCGTCCTGTGAAAAAATTCAAGACACAAGTATAGGCTGAATTCAATGGGAGACAGTTCTTTTTTTTTAAAGGAGTGTACAAACACCAATATACACCTTGAGGCATCTTTGAAGAGGGTCGCACAGATACTCTGTGATTTTGTCTACACGGATGCAACCCATTGTCCTCACAGCCAAAGCACGAATCAGTGGATTTGGATCTTGTGAATCCTGCAGAAGTTTTGAATCTTCTTATTAGTTGCTGCTTCTGCATAGTTTGTTTCACACATGTTATAGCTTTATTTTTCTGCATAAATGTTCATTAGTAATATGGTTATAATTTCTCACCTTAACAAATGTGTTCACGGCAAGTATCGCTAGATCTGGTTGACTTTTAGCATAGTTGATGAGATATAAATATACTAGTTTTTTCAGCTCCAAGTTCTCAGTCTGCATACAGTTCACGACATCCGTAAACAATGATGAGACATCTTTTCCAACGGTCATCGCTGCAATCACTTTCTTGACAGCATCTTTTCTCTTGTCCTGCAAACCATATTTCCACCAAAGCCTCAGATGCCAGAAGTGAACACATAATATGGTCTTACATCATTTATTCTTGCATTAAAATTAGAAAACAAAAATGGGATCTATGGCTGGTGAATGACTGACAACAGTATGTAGTCCAACCATTCTTGCTACATGGCATACTTCATCCCTGAGAATATTTCATATTAAAGACTGGTATGGTACAAATGTTCATTAATTATGCATTAGAACATGCATTTTACAGCGTGCAGCACTGCAAAATGTAGCTAGAACGGCGACAGAATATTTTTGTGACCGTGGGCTAGAGATGGCGTCTCAAAACCACTAGACCACCAAATCAAAATGATGTAGCTTGTCTTGCTTGCAAAACATGGAGAAGTGATAGAGCCTAAGATGAGTGTTTAGATCACTAAAGTATTTCTTTACGGAGGGAGTACCTTGCTGTTTTAACCGTGTGCGGAAAACCACAAAGATGGCATAGATAAATATAAAGCATAAACACCTTTTTATCAGCAGCGAAGTGCCATTTCTACAGCTACACCAATGCATATTGATGCATATCTGGAGTCATGGATATAAAAAATAAACTAGATGGAAGTAATGCACGGCCCCGCACATAAACTCCAAAATTTCTACCTTATTCAAAACGTATTCATTTACCCTCGAGAGCTTGGCTAACCAGACATCGAGCAGTCACTATATTCGATTTAATCTTGCTTTCACTGAAAAGCCCCGAAATGGATCAGAACTCAGTGCATTCATCTCGCTCCAAAGCAATTCAAACTCAAATCCGTCTGAACTGAATTCGGCATATTTAAGTACATTTTGTTGAAGAAAATGACCCCGAGATCGTCACTCTGCCGCAAATTCCAATCCTCGGAACAGAACCTAATCACGTGGGATACCAACCAAAACTCGCAGATCTCAAACCGCCCGCGCGTGGGCACCCAACACCCTTGCCAGATCTGAGATCCAGGCCAATCGATCCTCGGGCACAGCAAATCACACAAGAAGATAGACAGGGGAGAGACGGCGAGGAAAAGAGGGTGACCTTGTACTGGGAGTTGAGCTCCTCCTTGAGCTCGGGGATCTCCCCCTTTTTGGTGGTGGAGAAGTACTTGGAGTCGTGCCCGCTCATATCGCCCAGGCGAGCCTACCTGCCAAACACGCACCGGCCGCCGCCTCCGGCTGCGGAGCCGGGGGGTCGTGGTGGAGGCGTCCGATTTCGCGCGCGATGGCGGTCGGCGGCCTGCCTTCCTGCCTGCGCGATGGGATGGGATTGGGTGTTGGCGAGGGGGAGCCAGACGGGTGTGCGTGCGTGCGAGAGTTATGGAGATGAGAGAGATTGGGAGGGAGACGACGACGATGGTGGAGATCTGATCGGCTGCTCGCAAGTCATTCTAGTCTCTCTTCTTTTTCTATATCCTTCGACGCCAATTTCCGGCAAATTTGATAATTTTAATCCTGGATGAAATCAATTCACAGAATGAACTACCCGTGAAACTATTTCCGCCACGCAGGCGCCGCATCCTACAGTGCAACGCCTAGCACGGGGGCATTGCACGCCAGTCCATCGTGGCAGCCCTGGTCCCCACACCCAGCAGTGCAGCGCCCCTGAGCTAGGCGCCACACATGTAATGTGCAGCGCCTAGCCGTCGGGCGCTGCACTGTGACTTAGATCCAGCCGCGGCGGCCCTCTCCTCCCCCACCCACCCCATTGCAGCAGTTACATAACAGAAGAAGCCGCGGCGGCGGCCCTCTCCACTCCCCCTCTCAATCCCCTCTCCCAAATCCATCAGATCTGGCGATTTGGTCCGTGGATGCCTTCACCAATCCATTCTAGAAGGTACCCTCCTCTGATCCCTTTCTTTCTATCTATATAATGTATGTTATTTTGAAGATTTTGAGGAACCCTTGTTTGATTTGATTAGATTTGAATGTTGCATGTATTATAATCTTGCATGTACCTAATTTAGCAACCGTAGTTTAGTATATTTTATTGACAAGATATGGTTTGAATACATAGGTTGACATGTTATTTTATATGGAAAAGAGTTTTGTATTAAATCTTGCATGAAGTAGGCCTAGTTTAGTTTATTTGTGTTGAAATATATTTGTATTGAAAAGAATGATTTGGATACATATACTTTGAATTTTGCATCTAGTAGGCGTATTTTAGTTTATTTGTATTCAAAAGATAATTGTGTTGACAAAAAAGTTTTTTTTCAAATTGTTAGGATGGTTTGGCTTCTCGATGATCACAGGGACAAACAACACCGGTCGTACGCTATGTCGGTGGAGCAGCGGGTAATAATGAAAGTTGCCGGTGTTATGAATTTCATGTTTATTTCAAACACAAATGCCCCATATGTAATGATTTGTTTGTTTGTTTGTAGGAGCTTGCACCTCTGAAGCTTCGGTCTCACGGGGTCATCCTTGGGTGGATGCGCTATGATGAGTGGTACACACCATATGTAAGGGAGACAGGACTTCTCCCTTTCATTCAGTTAGTCAGCCGGTCGACGCCACCCAACAATGTTGCAGCACTCACCGCGCTTATTGATCATTGGAGGCCGGAGACACATAGTTTCCATCTTCGGACCGGGAGATGACCGTGACGCTCCAGGATATGACTATGATCACCGATATTCCTATCGATGGGAATCCTCTATGTATGAACACCGATTCTGATGGGTGGCGCGCGCAGATGCATGCCCTTATCGGTATGGTTCCTCCGGAGCCTCGGGAACCAGAAGCAGAAGACAAGAAGAAGGAAAGAGTCGCAACTGGTGCTCCTTTCACGTGGATTACATCGCACTTTGGTACTTGCCCTGAGGAAGCTGATGAGGACACGGTCAAGACATATGCTCGTGTCTACATGTGGTACGTGATATCCAGGACTATGTTTGTTGATGGCACAGGCAAGAATGCTCCATGGATGTGGCTGAAGGCGTTGACCGTCTTCGATAGCAAATGGAGTTGGGGTTCGGCGACACTGGCTTACTTGTATAGACAGGTATGAAGTTGTTTCTTTTTTACTTCATTGCTACATTATAAATGCGATCTTGCTGTTAATTCAACAATGTTCTCTTTTATGTGCAGCTGGATGAAGCCTGTTGTAGGCCATCTGGAGGTATTGGTGGTTGTATGCTCGCACTTTCCATATGGAGCTGGGAGCGTTTGCCGGTTGGACGATCGAAGACCGTGAAGTACAAGGATTGGGACGACAAAAACGACCCACTACGGCTCCCCACTTGGGCTTACAAGTGGGATGTGTTAAATGAGACGACGGATGATCCGTCGGTCATGTACAAGTTGTACAAGAGCGAGCTAGATGCGATCACGCCTGAGCAGGTGAATCGACATTGCATAAGTGATTATCATGCTTCTATCGTAACTCGATATCAATTTTGCATTCTATCCCATTTTGCAGGTGGAATGGGAGCCAAATGGAAAAGGAGAGAGTTTTGGTAACCCTGTAGAGTTCAGGCTGAATCTGATGTGCACTAGGGATAGGGATCTCTGGCGTATGCGGTGCCCACTCATATGCAACTGGGCGGTTGAGCTTCACCTGCCACATCGGGTGTTCCGCCAGTTTGGTTTGTTCCAGCCACACCCGCCGGAGTGGGAGGACACGGACAAGGTGCTACACGGATAAGATATAATTAACCTTGAGCACTTAGCGGCTTCTCGGTTGTTTCGATGGTGGTAATATTTTGTTTCTAACTTGCAGGTTGGATAGGAAAAAGCAGCGAAAGATTAAGGATTGGGCCAAGCATCACAGGAAGTATGTCGTACAGTTCGCGCTTAGTGTGGAGCAAGCTAGGGCTAGAAAATGAGCCCAGTTTCGTGGGCACTGCCCGATCACGTTCAACAATTATCTCACATGGTTTCTTGGAAGTACCCGTGTGGAGGTATGCAAGCCGGCGTATGCTGAGGAGATTTTGGAAGATCCGACAGTATTTTATGAGCTAGCCCAGCACCAGTACAACGCATTAGTGAGGAAAGGCAACTTAGTGATCCTTTCAGCTCCAATGATAAACTTTGTGGTATTTGCCCATTTTGCTTTTCCATTCGCACTATTCTCATCTTCGCTTGCCTAACACGTTAATACCGTTTCTGTTCATAGCGTGCCCAGATCAAGAAAGCAGCTGATGAGACCGAGACTATTCCGGAAACAACCCCGACTGGCAAAAGCGATGGGGAAGGTGCACTTTGAGCATTCATTAAGGTTCACATCTCCTTCAAACTAGAACTTAACATGTTTTGCTACGTTCAATGTCTCATTCACTTGTACATGTTGCAGCGCCAGGGCCAAAAGTTAAGGTGGCTATCAAACCTTTTCGGTTGTCGTGACCCCGAGTATGTATCACCAGAACGGTCTAGGTCGGCGACACCATCAGATCCCACTTCGGGCCAGGGCCATGGTGATCCTTTGGAGGATGAGGATGTGGGTGTGATCACCCAAGAGGTATTGCATGAGCATATATCCAATTGTTGATGCATTGCTAACTATATCCTCACACACAGTCTTTCCATATCTTTTGTTGATGCATAGGTTGCTGATGATATGACCTTGGGGACGTACCAGGTTCGGTCTGCGTACCAGTTAAAGCCTAGGAAGGTAATCAAGAAATACACACCTGCAGACTTCACCCAAAGAGGCAAAAGGACGGCCGGCACCTCGCGGATGGCGGCTTTGGATGACTATTTGGATGACGTGGAGGAACCGGAGCCGGAGCCGGAGCGGGTTCCTCTTCCTAGGAAGGTGAAGAAGATGGGAGTCAAGAGGGGGGAGCCAAAAAGCGCTGAAGGAACTAGTCATCGTCCTGTATTTGTAATGGTAGCTCTATGTTGGTTGTAGCTCTATGTTGAACTTTATGTTGGTGGTAATGTTGAACTTGTCATGATGGTCACTCTATGTTGAACTTGTCGTGATGCTCACTCTAGGTTGAACTTGTCGTGATGGTCACTCTATGTTGAAATCTATGTTGGTGGTAATGTTGAACTTGAAGCTCTTAGTAATGTTAACTTGTCGTGATGGTCACTCTAGGAAATGTTGAACTTGAATTGATTGTATGTCTTAGCTCATAGTAGTGTTGAAATTACTGTTTATTCTGTGATGCACCTATTTGTGACTTAAGATGACCCAGTTTGAGCAACAGAAGGCAGAGCAACAGAGAGCAACAGAAGGCAGGGCAAGTTACAGACTTGTGTGGCGCCTAGCCTACAGGCGCCACACTATACAGCGCAGCGCCTACCTCGTGGGCGTTGCACTGTACAGTGTGGCGCCTGTGAGCTAGGCACCACATCAAGACTTAGCGAAAATTTGGACAAAACTAGAGCAACAGAAGGCAGGGCAAGTTACAGACCTGTGTGGCGCCTAGCATGCAAGCGCCACACTGTACAATGCAGCGCCTAGCTCGTGGGCGTTGCACTATACAGTGTGGCGCCTGCAAGCTAGGCGCCACATCAACACTTAGCGAAATTTTGGACAAAACTGGAGCAACAGAGAGCAACAGAAGGCCCCTTTCCCTTCTTCTTCTTCCTCTCTTATTCCTCTTCCTCCTCCCTTTTCCTTATGAGGTGAGCCTCCTTAACCACCCTCTCCATGAATTTCTTGTTCTTCCTCTCCTCTTTTTCAGCTGCGAATGCCCAAAGTTTCATGGTTCTTTCTTCAAAATCCTTTTGACGCTTCTTCTGTGCCTCCTCACATTTCCTCACCAACGCTTGCTCCCTAGCGTACATCGCATTTGTCGCTCTCTCTCTCTATTTCCTTCCTCTTCTTCTCAAGCTCCTCTTACTTCTTCTTCTTTAGTGCGGCTGCATCCTCATCTCTAAGCTTCTTCGCAGCCTTCTCCCACCATCCGTCCATCTCATCTTCGCCATCCTCCTTCATTGTTGGTTTGTTGGGTTGGGAAGCCGCCATACCTACAATGAGTGAAACATAATGGTCAGTAAAGACAATAAAAACAAATGGAAGACATGTACAACAAGAACATATGAAAAATAAGAACATATGAAAAACAAGAACATATGAAACATTATAGTTAGTGAGCAACATACGAAAATGGTCCATCGAGGTATCCAAACATCCCTCTATAACGACCTTGTCCCTGTCCATCACCACGCCCAAGT